CATACACATACGCGTGTCGCACACATCGCATACTCCGCGCATGCACCTTCTCTCTCATTTATACTTAGAGTACATTGTATGGGAATGTGTACTCTTAAATACACCTCAAGAAACTCTTTCCTCTTCAATTTGAGACTCAAACCCACATCCTTCTCTCTCTATAAAAACAATTTAGGAAAGAACAATAAAACCAAATTTGTTGTTTTGAAATACGCTTAAGCATTTTTTTAAAAAAAAATACTAACGGATCTAACAAATTCACTACTATACTACCCTTACCTAGCTCAAAGAAAAATTTATGATCCACACCATCTTTGGCTTTTATTTTGATTCATCACAGGGAAAATGGAGGACGCCCAATATTTTTCTCAATTCCTGTCTAAATCTTTATTTGAACACTAATTCTTGGGCCGATTTTTTGTCTAAACTAAACTTATTGGTATTAATGGATCTTAAAATCATGGATTCAAATAGCAATAATACCCAAAAACCCCAGTTTTCGTTTCCCCCAGATATGGTGGAACCATGATTTCATCTGAAATTGACTTGTTTTAAACATTGTTTTTGTTAAAAACTAGATTTCTAGGTTTGTTTTCATAGGTAAATGGTTTCTCACCCAATTTTCTTTTTTTCTTAGAATTCTCAGTTTCAGGCAAACTCTGTAGAAAATTACACTTGGAATATAAGTGTGTTTTGCTGTACATAACGTTTTATATAACATTGATATATTTTTTCTTTCCATAAGCCATCTAGAGTGTTCAACATCTACAACTTGACCTTCCACATTCTTTGCTATTGTATTCCTCATCCTCCCTTCAAATTCAAATTAACAATCGAAGCCTTTCCTTCATGAACGGTCAAACCCTGGTTCTACATATGGCATGGCGCACATCAAAATTCAAAACAACCATGCTTTCAGAAGATTTTTTTGTGTACTTCCCCCTCTTTCTTTTTTTCTCTCTCTTCATCGTTTTTTTGCCTTTGAAGCCTACTTTTTTTTGTCATTGTTCATTTAAAGTGTCAATTTCTTCAATAAATACAAAAAATAGAGAAAAGTAGAAATTAAAAAGGGAAAAAAAAATCTTCGAACCATTCTACAACTAGAGAGATAAAATTAGAGTGGTTAGAGAGAAAGTGGTTCAAGAGAGGCGAGAGAGCGAGGGGAACCAAGGCTCCACTATATGTTTGCCCCACACTTGGAATTTGGGAGAGATCCATACTTTTCAATTATGTATACATTGTAGATCATTGGGGACGCCATATAACAATTGCGTCATTTGACATACCGAAACCCTATTATTTATAACTAATTAACTAGCTACATTATTAAGAAATTGTTTAGGGGTGGATATATGTAGCAAGAATAAAAATGGATTCTATTTTTAGAGAGATAGTAGGGAAGGTGAGGCGACTGTTGTGTGTTGTAGTAGTTAATTGCATTGGGTCGTTAAACTCTCTTGACCACCTAATGAAGAATCACATCTCTCTACTCAATAGTTATTTCCTTACTCTAGAAATATTACCTATTTCTCACATTTGACAAACAATTTTCACTACCTAGGTTTTCAACAATGATTACTTTCTCTATCAAGAAATAAATTTCTTGCAATAATTACTGTCCCTCTCTAGAACTAAAATGCTCCCTCTGTAGAATTAAAATGCAACTCTAGTGCATTGAACGATCGCTAGGTTAGTGCACTAAATAGGTGAGACACTCTTCATTGTACCGTGACCAGTTATACAACGATTTTTCATTGTACCGTGACTGCTTATACCTATAATTGTAGATATTTTCTTGTATTTTTGTTGTGAAATGCAATTTTATAAATGAATGGTACCCAATGGTGGATATCTAGCTCTATCTATATGCATTAAAAGCCAGGATCCCATCCAGTGGTTTGTTGAGGTTGGATTTTTTTGTTCTTTGTATTTTGTCGCTAGGCTTTCAAGAACTTCACAATTGTGGTTACATATTTCTTATTTGTAGTTGCAATATGTCCATGATTCTAACAATTGGATGAGTTATTGAATTTTATTTGAAGTGTATCATTGGAAGTCTGTGAAAGTGGAAATACAACGACGTTGTTTTTTTTTGGGCATTAACTTGGTGTACCTCAATCTATAATTACAAGGAGTGAGAAACTAGACTAATTATATGATTAGAGAGAGAGAGAGTAATGAACGGGAGACAGAGAGACAGAGAAATAAGAAATTATTACTGCAAAATATAGAAAGACAAAGCGAGAGACGAGAACAATATCTATAGGGAGATAGACAATAAGAGAGGAACGAGAGATAAGAAATTCTAACAGCACGATGGAGAGAGACGAATTCTTATAAACTCTAAAAAAAAATATCCAATGGTTTTTTCCTAAAAAAGTCCAAAAACGTTATTGTTATTCTTTTAGAACCTAAATGTTTTCTCGATTGCTAAGGACTTCGAAAGTGTAAGTATACAGGCTGGCAATGAGCAGGTTAGCCCAGCGCGAATGGGCCTCCAAGCCCTAAAACCATAGCACCTGGGATTCAAAATGGGGCTAGAGAGCCGAGCCAGTGATAGGTTAGGTTTGTGACATGGCTGGCCCGGTTTGGGGCAGCCCGTCCCTTTTTTTGTTTTGTTTGTCTTTTATTCATTTTTATTATAATTTTATTTTGTGTGGCATGCCTGGCCAAGACAAGGCCAATGCCAGGCTTAGGGCTTGGCCAACCGGCCCCTTGGGGACTAGGGACGGCTCCCTAGTCCCCAAGGGCCAGGCTCGCCCGCTGCCCATTGCCACTCCGATCCGAGTACATCAAATGGTCAAAATTAATTGCAACCAACTTATACCATAAGTTAAAGGAAAAGGTTTATACTCACCCCTAAAAAATAAAATTAAGGTGAACCTCAAAAATTCACTAGAAAAAGTTGTTTCGTTACGTCAAAATATACTTTTTTAGCAAATGTCCCCCAACCCAAAGAAAATAAAAAAGTCTAAACTACCCTCCTTTATTTTTACTCTGGCCTCTCTCTCCTCTTTCGCACAAAAAGGCGGTCCGGCATATTCTTAGGGCGGTCCGGCAGTATAATGTCGGTCCGAAAAATAACAGTGGCGGTCCGACAGTACAAGTGGAAGTCTGGCACTGACAAAGAACGGTCTTGCAATTGGCCCATGCGGTTTGGCACTGTCAAAAGGCTGTCCAGCAATAGCCCTATGCGGTCCAGCAACAGGCCCATGCGGTCCAACAACAGGTTGAAAGTGCGGTCCGGCAATGTCAAAGAGTGGTCCGGCACTTTTTTAGTTTAACGGGGTCTGGAAATGTCAAAGAGCGGTCTGCCAGCCCATGTGAGCCCACATGAATGTTCGGCCAAAATTAAATTTTTATGTTCGAAAAATGGTGTTTTCGTAAAAACATATACCTTTTTTTACTTGGGGGATATTTACTAGAAATATGATTTTTTGGGCAAAAAGTGAGAAAAAAAATTTGGTTGGAAGTAACTTGCATAGAAAGTCTAGTTTTGAGGGTTATTATTAATTTTCCCTAAAATAAACCCCCATTCCACATTATTAAATTATTTTGGATTTTCACCAAATTAGTGAAAAGTATTAAACGCGGGTGTTTAACCATATTTATCTAATTGGAGAAAAGTATCAAACACGTGCTTCTGTCGAAGGTTGAGGGGATATGATGATGCCCTCGTGTATTATACCTATTTTTCTCTTGGGCACGTGTACTATGATCCCATAGGACTAATCTATCCATTTGCTCCCTCAGGTAAAATATACGCTTGGATAATTTTTTTGACCTGAAAATTTGGGTTTTTCTTAAGTTGATATTTTTAAAAAAGAAAATTGGAG